CTTTCTCAAACACTGCTATCTTCTCAGCTTTCCAATTTACTATAGTGTTCTCACTTTGACCTAATCCAGTCAATCCATTGACTTTGGCATAGTTTTAGAGAACATGAACCCCCTATAGACTTCCCCTTTGCCATGACAAGTGTAGAGTCTACAGTCCACCAGTCCATTTGGCAAAGCCCCAAATCTAGTTAAATCCACCTATTCAACTGCGCTGCTTCTGCACACATGCACCCGATCATGGCAGGAGAAAAACAAACAAATAATGACTGGGCTCTGTTAAAATTTATGACCACAAATATCAAGTGGCCTCTCATTACTACTCAGTATTTTTACTGCATTTCCCTACTCAATTTACTTTCTCATTCTACTAGAAGAATATTTTATATCCATCTCTTTCTTTAAACCTTCAGATCTTCATTTTCAGCTAATGGCTCATTTATTATTTCCCTTTGAAACCAGGATAATTCAGAAAAGGACTACCTTAAATCCCCAAACCAAATCTTCCAATGTATTTGCTTCTGTACATCCATATTCTCTCCTTTCCTGTTAAAATGAGTGAACTAAAAATAAAGAATAGTCAAGGCAATTTTGAAGAACAAACAGGAAGACTTATATTCTAGATATCAATGTTTATTATAAAGCTATAGTAGTTAAGAGAATGTAGTGTTGGCCCAAAGACAGAACAATGGAATATAACAGAGTTCAGAAACAGACCAAACATGTACACTAATCTGATTTACAAAAAAGGTGATGCTGCATTGCAGTGGAGAAAGTATGGTCTTTTTTAATAAGTAGTGTGGGTCATATACACACACACAAAAAATCCTGAACTCTAATATACCATACTAAAAAGTTAATTCGAGATGAATTATAGATCTAAATATAAAATAGCGCAATAAAACTTTTAGGAAAAAAAGACCATTGTCATGATCTTGGGGTAGGCAAGAACATCTCAAACAGGGCATAAAAAGGAAAAGATTATAAATTGTATTACAATAAAATTAAACCTTCTGTTCATCAAAAACAAACAAACCAACCAACTATATATATAAAGAGAGTGAAAAACAAGCCACAGAGTGGAAGAAGATATTTGTAATACAAATACCTGACAAAGGAATAGATATATAAATAACTACCACAAATCAATAAGGAAATATCAATCAACTAAGGAGAAAATAAGCAAAAGACTTGAATAAATACTTCTTAAAAGGGGATATCCAAATGGTCCATAATAATATAAAAAGATGGTAAATTTAATTAGTCATCAGGTAAATGCAAATTTAAACCATAATGCCGTACTTTTGCAAAACGATCAAAGTAACTAAAATGAAAAAAAGACAATACCAGATGTTGACAAAGATATGAAGCAAATGAAATGTTCCTTATAATTGGCAATGAGAGTGTAAACTGGTAAAAATCACTTTGGGAAACTATTGGGCCATATCTACAAAATCCGAACATACACATTCCTATAACCCAGCAATTTCACTTCTTGATAAATATCCAAGGGAAATGTATACACACGTTCACAAAAGATATATACAAAAATTTTTATGTAAGCACCATTCATAATAGCTTAACACTAGAAACAACCCAAATGTCCACCACCAGTAGAATGCATAAGTAAACTGTAATATATTTATACAAAGAACACTATTCAGTAACGAGAACGAACAAATTATATCTACAGGCAACATAAAAAAAATTCACAAACATAATGTTAGAAGCCAGACAAATGAATGCATCTCTGTAATTCTATTTACACAAAGTTGAAAAACAGGCAAAATTAATTTAAGGCCACAGAAGCTGGGAGAGTAAGGGGCAGCAGTTGGGTAGAGGGGTGTTTTAAGCAAAATGATTTATCAAATTATAAATTTGATAATTTATATTATAAATACACATTATTTGAGTTACCTTTGCATTTGTTAAAAATGATCATCATGGTATTTGAAATGGGATAAATAAATAACAAAATGGTAAAAACACAAAATTATTGTCGAAGATATGAATTTTGTTTGGGTTACCAATCTTTCCTACTCTAATGTCAACATAAAACACCTGTCTAAATTTCGCAAAACTTATAATTCTCTTTCTGAAGCCTTCACTATGTTATCTTTTAATAAAATATGCTGTCATTTCTCCATGTCTTTATTTGCAAAACTCCAAGGAAAAAGAGTGAGAAAATTACTTTGAAATAAATCAAACACAGGCAGCCACTTTCCCAATCAAACTTTCATCCCACCAAGCTAACTTTGAACACCTAAAGTGCTGCTTCTCAAAGTCAAGTATACAAAGTCCAGAACCGCTGCCTCACTACCCCTCTTGGGATCTGTTGCCACATCTATATAAAATAGGGATAGCAATAGCAACTACCTTATAAAGTTGTTGTGAGGATTAAATAAGATAATGCATGTGAAATGCATTATCCCGAAACACAGTGACGACTCAGTAGATGCTAGCATTTAACACTAACACTGTTAATTTATTGTTAATAGTGTTATCATCAGAATAACCTGATGTGCTCATTAATCACTATTGATTTCTGGGCTCAACCCCAGACCTACTGAAGCTGAATTGGTAGTTCGGCCCAGAAATCTGCAGTTTAACTAAGAGATTTTGGGTGATTCTTTTTGCACACTTGAATTTGAGAACTATTATCCAGAGGTTAGGGCTTACTTCTTCTTTGTTCCTCACAACTCCAATCCGGGAATCTGCACACAATGAATGTTTAGTGATGGGATGACTGATATTCAATATTGTCAGACTGCTATGATGTAAATTATTAAAGGAATCTGGAATTTGTTATAGACTCGTGTGGTAGAGGGAAATAGATTTGTACATTTTGACTACAGCAAAATATAAAGTGAGAGTTGTTTTGTTTACTATCAAAAGTACCTTCAGTTTCAATCATTTTAACTCTTTCTTTGTCAATGTGAAGATAATTGAATCCTCTCACATTTCACATGAACTATTTTTTGCCTTAAAATAATTCAATTCATTTAGGTTTTTATTGCTTCCTTTTCTAATTTAGAGGATACGAAAAGAATAGACATGTGTTCATAGAGAGGCCAAATGACCATATTCTCTGGGTCTTGCATTATTAATACTAAATCTGGAACTAGGCTTCCATAACCACTTTCTTTCTTACATCTGTGTTCATTTAAAGGAAAGTTCCAGCAATTTGTTTAAAGGAACTGCAAGTGAAAACATCTTCAACTTTTTAATTCAAATAGAAATTCAAATCAAATCACAGTAGGTATATGAACTTTCTGTCTGTAAAACAATTATGCAACTTGTTGCACTGAATAGAACATTTTAATACGAAAAGAAATCTAATTAGATGTTCGATTGCATTCAAAGTACAGAAAAGTCAACCCTTGATCAAAGACAAAAATTAGAAATTATTTCCGGCTTACTTTCTGTTTCATGTCATTTAGAAAATGTAAAGATTGAAAGATAAAACCTAGATATTTTATCAGTACAAGATAATATTTAAGAACAAAATTTTCTTGTTAGGTGAAAAGCCTTGAACATATGCTTTACTGTGACAGTCAAATTCATGTAATTCAGTTACATATTTTTCAACTTCTGGTACCACCTGTGTATATCTAAATTCTATAAATTAGTTGAAGAGGAATAGTGAGATTTTATGACACATTTATTTCATGAGCCAAATGTAAGGGTGGTTCAGTTAAACATGAAGAACTTGACCTCCAGGCCACCAGACGGACTTGTTATTTTCCAACCAACAATCTGCTTCTTTATAAATATCAAATACTCTTGACTTTCTGATTGCCTCAATTAACCTTTAAAATGACTCTAAAGTACAGTGAGACTTTTTTCCCCCTCTCTCTCTCAAGAGAGGGAAGGATGTTTTTTTGTTTTTTTCCTTTTCTGGCAGAGATGCTAAGTTCTGACAGTTTGCTAAGCAGTGGAAATCGTGCTATAAGCAAAAGTCTCTGCAAGACAGAGATTCCTACAAGACAGTCTTTATTTTTCCAGCGGATACTGGCTACTCTTATAGGATCCAATTCCAAAAACAACTTCACTGAAGCAACTGCAAGTGAAATCACAAGACGCATGGATTGAAAACTAAGAATTCTCTTCTACTTCTGTCCAATGGTAGCTTGACCCCTGGCCCTCCTAGTTTATCTCATTTCCACAGGCTGAATTTGGACATCCAAATCAATTACAGTAGTCTATATTCTGAGAATAGGGTAAAAGTATCAAAATGTGTGAACACCTTAATCAGCAGATTTAGCTACTTAGCAAAGCAGCCATAATATTAAAAACACTTAAGTATCCAAATAATCCGACTTTTGTTAGTTAATCAGAAAATTCGCAAACATGTGAGGAGCACAAGAAAACTTCAGATGAAGTTAGATTCCTGTTGAGCATTTACCATTAAATTTCCTTGCATTTTGAGAACTACCTTGGTAGTTAAATATGGCCTTCGTTAGTGATCTCATAAGAGAAAATTACCTAGCAAAGACTCAAGCAGAGTCATATGGACACTGTTCATATTTTATATTACCTTCCATCTGTTTCTTTGACCCCTTCTCTCTCTGTAATGACCTGTGGCTTTGATAATTCAATGCCAGATTTAGGAACAACCAAAAATTTTGGTAGGTCTCTCTCATCAGTGATGGTGACTGTGAATTCTATTGGCACCTGAAACAAAATCTGAGCATGCGCAAGAGTCAGAGTAGCTTTGGAATAGGAGACCTCTTCCGAAGATCTCTCGTTGGTGCGGAAGTGTTTGCACGTTCTGACCTCATTTAAAAACTCAGAGCTGGCTCTTAGAGTAAGGAACTAGCGACCACACTGTCAAGATCATCATTAACACGGCATCCATTTTAATACTCATCATAAACCCATTCATTCATTTATTCATTCATTCAGATGTTCTCCATATTTTCTGATACTCCCTTAAATTAGGGGCTGGATCTTAATTAATGCTCAAGATTTATCTAAGGAATAAATATAAGAATAACACTTACTTGCCAGTAATAAACTGACTCCTGGAAGGTGTGCAAATAGGCTGGACATAGTAGTTCTCCAGTTTAACTCCTTCGGCAGCGAGTTTATCAAGGGTTGGCGTCTTTATCTCAGATCCGTGGTAACCCACATCTCTAAATCCCTGATCATCTGCTAAGATGAAAATGAGATGAGGCTGGGAGGTGGCCGTTGTGCTGGGCTCGGGTCTCTCTCCAGTTTGAGCTCGAAAGGTCCCTTCCTCCTCCTCCTCTAAGCTCTGGCCCCAGGACAGGTAACCGTAGGTGAGGAGGCTGAGGACCCAGAAGCCTGCCAGCGCTCCCATAGCTAGCATCTTTCCAGGCCAGACCCAGGCCCGCACGGACGGCGCAGGCAGAGGTCCCGCGCAGCCCCAGGGGGCCATGCACTCGGGTCCCAGCTGCGACTCCACGTGCGAACCTCGCACCGCGCGCCGCCTGCGCACACATGCACGCAGGAGGGGTAGAGCCAGCAGAAGGTGGAGGTTGTCCACCCGGAAAGAAATCCTGCGCTCCCCTCGGCTGTCACCACGTCCGATAACTTTAATCTTCTATGAGGGATGGCTTAACGGATGGGACAACGGAGAAACAAGAAAGTGTCCTTCTTCTGCACCAAAGTTAATTTTCTCCTCCTCCTCCTCACTTCCCAGAGCAGCTTCCACAAAAAAGTTAATATCTCCACTCAAAAGTTCGCGGGGGGTGGGGTGGGGGGGGACGTCAAGTAAGGAACTGGGAATCACACCGGACAAGGACTTTTCGTGGCCAGAGCGCCCTTGACGCTGGGGAGCGAGACTGTCCTGGGCGCGCACACGGAGAGGGCGGTCAGTCCAGCGGTGCCCCCACCTGGAAAGAGCAGATGACGAGCTGCCGGAGACGACGGGCTCGCCGATCACCTTCGCCGCATTTCCAGGGCTCTATTTTTCCCAGTCCTCTCCTAGGCGTTTGCCAACCCCCCGACACTCACCAGGCGGCGAAGTGAGAAAAGCCATTTCCTGATCTCATTCCACCGTGAACCATTCCCTTCTCTCCAGGAACTTCGGGCAGCGATTCCGGGACGCTGGAGCGCGTGGGGACCAAAGAGGGGTCCCTGGCCCCGTGGCTGGTCCACACCGAGTCCACTCGGTCCCGGCGGAGGCGCTGCGAGCCGCGTGCGATTTCTCGGCTAACTTACTTAGTTTTGGCACTCGGAGTTCTTCTGCCTCCTCCCTCTTCCCTCTCCAGTGAATCACAGAACGGTCCTCGCTGCCTTCGCTCCCCCAGGAGGAGGGGGAGGGGGTACGGCCGGTTTACAGGCTCCATCTTTCCCTTCTCTTTTCCGGGAGGAGGATGGACGCGGGAGGGGAGGCTTTGCCAGGGGGAGATCTGCGCGCCGCCCGAACCTTACGGGATCCAGGGGGATCCGGCAGGGCTGCCGCTTCCCAAGAGCGTCGCCCGCTGCTTCCCATCACCCGGCGACGGGGGCAGGACCGCGGCGCGAACGGGCGAGGGTGAAGCGGCCGCTTCTCTTCGTGGGTCTGTAGGTGAAGAGCCCCGTCGCCCATCCCGAAAGCCGCGCTTGCAAACTTTTCCCAGCTTCTGCAGCGAGTGCGAGAGGAGAAACAACAAACAGCGTAGCACGCTCTTTCCTTCTTCCTCTTTTGGTTTTCCTTTATTACTCCCTTTTTCCTACCCCTCCCATTTCCCTACTTTTCTCCCCGCCTCCTTTCTTTCTTTTCTTTCTTTCTTTTTAACAGCCACAACTACAACTTCTTAAGTTGAATTTCTGCCCCCAATAGCTGACCTTTACAGTCTGACTTCCCCATTAGCTTCTCCCTTCGTGGAGATAATGAAATTGCCCCCACCTTCTTACCTCTCCCCTGACTTACCCTCAGGGCGTCTCCAGCCAAGAAAGTGGAGAGAAGAGTTACACATTTCACCCTCAAGAACCGAAGCCAGACTGCATTCCTGTAGTAAGGAGACCACCTACCCACCGTTTCCAATCCAGTGATTCGAGGAGCTTCATCATTCTTTTTTTCTTTTCTTTTTTTTTTTTTTTTTTACCATGTGGAGTAAAACCACTGTAAAAGCTTGCCTTGATTGTGAAGATTCGCCTGCTTTTACCAGAGTCAGAGCGTTTTAAAGCACTGTTCAGAGGCAGGAAAGGGATTTATAATATCCCTTTATAGAAGAGACAATCAATGCCAAGAATCATTGAGATGTATTTTTATTCCCTCAAATTTATTCAACAGTTATTTACTGAATACCTACTGTGGGCTGGCACATAACATGTCAGATTCTCTCAATTAACTAAAGCATAAATCTAGGTTTCATTTCGCCATGTATTTTTAATTCTCTCCTGTTACTATAAATCAGTTCCTGTTGAGTTCCTACTCAGAACAACTGTAAAATGGAAACTTAACAACTTTGAAACTTGCAATGAGGCTCCAGGCAGTTAATTTTACTAACATGTGTAGCCTTCTACCAGTCTATGCTCATCCCTGCTGCCATTCTGGTTGGTCTGGAGAGAAATGGTCAGTGTTAGCAGACATGTTTGGAAATATAAGTTTAGAAAATCTGAGAGTTACCCCAGATATGTAATAAGAGTATTGGGGGATTGAGAAGCTCTGAGAGGTAGAGCTCCAGGCTTTGTGGGTTTAACAAGGTGCTCGAGTGGAAAAGATGTGAACAAACATTCAGATCAATCCAGCTACTTTTAGTTGGGGTATACTCAATGCCTTCTTGTGACATAGCAAAAGATGTGTCCATGTTGCTGTGTAAGAAAAAGGGACATTTTCAATTTAGAAAAAAAGTCAACATTTATGGAATACTTATCATGTGCTGACCATAGTACTCAATACACACATGTGTGCACATACATACACACATGCTTTTTAGTATTTATACAGTACTTTATATACTTTTCTCTTTCCCTTCACTATTAACCTTATGAGAAGTTCTTCCATTGAACAAATATTTGAGGAACTGAGCTAACGCTAGAGGCTGGGAATGTAATGTGAACTAAATCAGACACAGTCTCTGCTGTGGTGGATCCATATTGTGGTAAGGAAGAAATATACTGATCAACAAATCACCCCAGAACTCTAGTAGTTACTCATGAGATAAGTTTTCGGAAGAAAAGGAACACAATGCAAAGAAATTTTAAAAGAAACCTGACTTAGGCTGGATGCAGCTAGTGAGTGAGGTGGTTCAGGAGAGTGACCTTTAAACTGAGGAGATGTATTTTGTTTGTATCCGCTTTTTGCAGAAAATCTAGACTTGGAAATCTATCTGACTTCAAAGCTCATGCTTTTCAAAAGATACTCTTTCTACAAATGGGCTTTAAAATCTTTGCCAGCCACATGGCACAGAGAGAGCACAGCTGCCAGGGTTAGAATTCTAATCCCCACACAAGGCATGCAGACAATCCACACTCAGAAGAGAGGGGCAGAACTCTGGCCTTAAAAAGTCATTTCCAGAGTAAACAGGACTAACAGTGAGGAAAACTAATAGCTATTTGCAATTAGTTAGAAGAGCCAAGAAATGAGAATGGTCATGCCAAAGTAAACCAAATGAGATGTGACTCAAAGAGGAAAACTAAAGTCAGCAGGATGGCCTACCTACAGCAGGTAAGGATTATTTCAACATCTCTCACAAAGACATGGAGAATGAAATCAGAGGCTGTCAAATGCCCAGTGCTTCCTTGTACGTACACTGGTATTATACATACATAAACTTTGCATTTCTCCTAATAAGAGGATCGGATTTCATGCACTCCAAGCAATAGATTTAGCGTCCTCATGAAGGCCCAAGTTAAAGGTCCTGTATAACTTAGTAGTTCTTTCCTGAATTTAAAATCATCATTTTGGTGTTCAGGCATCAGCTGACCTTACGGAATCCCATTTAGGTTTATTTGCTTGGTTATGCTCATGTTAAAAACTCCTCTAGTTTTTGAATGGTTATATGAAAATCAAAGGTACTATTTGATTCAATTTAAAAAAATGAGAAAAACAGAATTACTTAGAGATGAAATTATTGTGAACCAAGTCTTCGGGTGAGGCGTAATCAGAAGGTGGGACTGCATCTATGCCCTAAAGTATGATAGAAATTTGGGAAAGAAGAGAAGAAGTTAAAGAAAGGGCAATTTAGGCAAAAGAGAAGATCAACTGGCTGAAGACATGCTTGTGTTGGAAGAGTATGGGAAACAATGTTAGGAAGTTCAGGCAACACCAAATGTTGAGGGGCTTTGAAAATATGAAGAGCTGGAACAAGATTCTGAGGGCATTAGGAGCAATGAAGTCCTTGGGATAGGTCATAACATTATAAAATATTTTAGTGAGGTCACTCCTGGGATAGATCTAAAATAGGGATAGAAGTTATAAATGCGTTGCTTCAGTACATCAGAGTTTTAAGGGTTGGAATTTTACTCTGAGGATACTTTTTTCATACTTTTCTTCTTACTACAGCAAGACATGATGAAAAAGATAGGAAAATAAGTCCCAGGGCATTTTCAGTGAGAGATCTGACGGAGTAAAGAGTAGAATCACACAACTGCCTCAGTGCATAAAATCTGTACAGCAATATTCCTTAGGTTAAAGAACTATGCTTTGGTTATGTTATCCGATGGAAGAGGGGCATTCATTAAAAGCTTAGAATTAATCAACTAAGAGGAAAAAAGGGACAAAGGAATAAGGGACCCAAGACAGGACTTTGTTTGATTGGATAATGGAAAAAGAAAGGAAAGAGTAGGGTAAATTGTGAGCACGGTCATTACCACAACTGGACGATCTGAATAAGGCACCGCAGGGTGGCCCAGAGCTCCTTGAGGGACAGACCTTGAGGATGCCCAGGGGTGGGGTGAAGGATTGGGTATGAAGAGCCTATCAGTGAATAGAGAAACTAAGAAAATCACAGACAAGACAGTAAAATAGGTAGTTGAACAGTACCTTGAAAGATCCATGTTAAATCTCACCATAAAAATGACATTTCCCATAACCCCCCAGTAAGTGGACAGAATTGTTTTATCTTACAAATTGGATATACCTAAAAATTTCTTTGAAGGAAGACCTAGTAAGACAGCATGACTGCCGCACGATTCCCACTTTTTCTGTAGATATTTATTTTCAACTAAACATGTACTCAGACACTTAAGAGACATAGCTAATTTTCAAATGTAGGTTTAAAAAAATTGAGAAAACAGTCAAGCCAGGTATTTACTGACCATTAAAAAAGATTTAAAATTCAATTGCTGCTTGCTTGGGTTTATAAGTACATTGAATACTTAAAAATGAAGGAATATCATCAAGTTTAAATTAATGCACAAATAAGTCTAAAGCAGATGTTTGTCCTAATATAGTCATGTTGAAATGAATAAACTTCTTATTAAGCATTATTAACCCTTTATTAGGCTATGAGTCTAAGGCTGCTTTGGACATTAAACCATCACCAGCAACATGAGCTCTGAATAAAACCAAGTAGGATGGGTAACTAGCTGATCTAGTAATTGTCAAGTTGAGTCACTTCCTCTTTTGGAGGAATGCAAGCTGTTTCCCAAAGCTGTTTCATTTTGTAAAGAAAACATGAATGATGTAGGAGACACTAAAATTTCAACCATGCATAAATGCAGTTACCCCAAAGTAGCAAAGTTTATGACATTAGAAACTCAGAAAATCTGAACTGTCAAAGAAGAAATCTTTCTTTCATTC